GGTTTTTGCGGGTATGTTTCCAAGGGGAAAACTACCACCACATGTGCGAGCACTGGTGAACCGTGCACTGGTGCTTCTCACACGCTTCAGCCCGCGTGATGCTTGGTATTCACAGATTCTTTTGCGAAGCCATCACGTGATTCTTGCAAGAGCGAGCCTCTTTATTGGTCAAAGGCAGTGCCATCCAAATGAATTTCTAGCACAACTGTGCAAATACCCTTGACGTAAACGACAATCGGTCTAGGCAATGCTGATGCAGGTTGCACCTTGCGGACGTCACACAATGCAGCTCATTGGTTGTCTCGGGGTTTCAACTTGACAAGTGGGCTGCATTTTCTCGACTGGAACACTTGGAAAGAGAAAGGACGCCAAAGAGCCAGTTTTATGGGGGAAGGTGCTGTTTTTACAACTGAGAAGGGGATCAGTTTCAAATTTCATGTCACACTCCGTGCAAGACTATTCCATGTCCACGAATAGGGTGGAGTGCTGACAACGATTTAAGCCCCCATTGTCGATTCGGCCTCCAGTCACGTGCTTGACACGGCATATGACTTGACTCAGCGAAGAAATCCTGTCGAGTATGACAGATTGTAGGGCAGTTTCCAACGTATGAACAGTTGCCGTCAGGTACATTCACATCGGATAAGCACGTCCAGGTCAGAGAGGGTCCCACGCAGGAAGGATAGGCGTCCACAAGATTTACGGCCAAACAGAGGTTCTCCCCGTCATAGCCACGCCAATCACTTGACATGCCACGCAAGGGTGACGAATCCACAGGAGGTGGTCCTTCGGGCAGAAGTCCACCGTATTGGTCGAAACTTCCGAACCGGAACTTGCCGCTGCAGCGTTGGACTGCCCGAAGCTTGCATCGCATCAAGATGAACGCCCCGATTTTGCCGACCGCGTTGCCAGGTGGTCCCCTCCCTCGTCAGCTCCGACAGAGCTTGTACATCCGCCACGCAGCCCTGCGGGGCCCGCCGACGTTGCCCGCATGTGCCACTTCCTGCCGCCAGCAAACCGCACTGCACGCCTTCTCCTCAACACATCCATGCTGATCCGTCCTGGCCTCCCCCAACATCCCCCCGAAGCTTTTGGGCATCACGGCAGCGCGGGCTCTGCCAAATCCAGGCTCCCATATTCCCCGCTCTGCTCCGCTCACGGCCGCCTTTTGCCCATGAATTTACCCCGCCCATCCGTTTCGCGCTTCGAAATCCCCCTTTGATGTGACGTGACGGTCGGCTGGCGGGGGAGCAGAAGAGTGGCTTCAGCGGAGAGCACAGCACAGCACAGGAGGCCCAGCGGGGGCGCGGGGACGAGCGGCGCATTTCGTTTCTTACAAAGGGGCGACTTCCGCATCTGTTGAAGGCAAACAATCGAAAAAGGCCCTCGTCTCCCTGCTGAGACATGCACCAACGCACACTGACGAAAACATTGCACACTCCTGCTTGCCACAATCGTCCCCTCGGTGTACAATTGTATTTAGGCTCTGCACAATCGCCCTTGTTCTGCATTTTCTGCACTTGGACTCGTTCTTCGAACATTGCACATACGCCGCACAGCGATTTCCCACAGTATTACGCATTCATAGAGTCCACCCAGCTCGCTTAGGTGCGCCCGCATCTAGACACCAACGTTGCCGATTTGAGTTTCGAAATCGGGAACTGCGATTTAACGTCTACTCTAGATATCTAGAGACTATATTTTCCTAAAATGGCGTCTGCCATCACTCTCGTCGCGTCTAACGCAGCCGCTGCTAGCGCGTGCTTGCCGCCAGCGGCGCAGCTCTCCTGGGCGCTCTTCTGCGCCATTCAGAAATACGCTGCGCCCGCAATGAACGCCGTCGCTCTGACGACCATCGAGAAGAAGACTCCGCCGTCGTCTCCCGCGGCTGCCGATGCGCCCAACAGTATATTCCACCCAGCGCCCCTAAGATTCTCCCCGCTCCCAGCTCGCTCGAACTCGTCCGCCGTGGAGCTCGGTCGCGCGGTGCTCGCTACTGCAGGAATTGCTCTCCTCCCTGGCGCGGAATCGCCCCGCACTCTCCCCACCCTCGCGGGCTCGTTCAAGCAGTGCGCCATGCGCCCTCCGCGCGTCGTCCTCCCGTCCTCCGCCCGCCCTCCACTTCCGCCGCCCACGCTGGCGGGGTTCGGGGGAGCTGCGCTGGAACTTACCGGCGCCATCACCAGCCCGCACGAGGACGGCAGCCCGCGTTTCCCAACCGCCGCCCTCTCCCCGCGGACGCTCGGGCCAGCCGTGAGCCACGGTTTCCGTCCATCGCGCCGCGAGAGCCTGGCGAAGAAATTTCAAGACTTCAATTCTCGCAGTCACCATGCGCGCGCCGGGCTCACGAATCGCACGTGATCGCGGGCGGATCGGGAGAGCAGCGTCGGCCGACCCGCTCGCTTGGAGGGTATGCAGCGACGGACGGAGAATAAAGTGCCACTCTTAATAGTGGTACTAAGGCGCTTCTACTATCTCTGCTCCTTCACTACTGGGTTCGTTTTCAAGCTTCGGTTTCGGATTCCCCGCCTCCCCGCCTCTTTCCGACGATCGATGGATAGCGGCAGCCCGCCGTGTCGTTCCAGCCGTGGCTTCTTTTTCGCTTCGAGCTCGCGTCTCCCTTGAAGCAGTGCCACCTTCTCGGCTTCCTCTACTTCCCAATCGCCATTTTTATCTCTTCCTCCTCGGGCCACATGCGAGCCAGCCTGCATATAATGCGAGCGGAATCTGTACAGCGCCCGTTGACTGGCCGGCTTGTATATTTTCGTAGGGACGATAAGGTGGTCCGATCACCGACCCCCCCCTTCCCGGAAATGCACCAGAAGTAGCAGCGGCAGCACCCGCCGGACAGCGACTTCGTACATGTGCCTGGATGGGATAATTGTTTTAATTCGTGCGACGACTTCAACGCGTCGGTCAAGGAATTTGTACATACTGTAAGGAGTGAGGATGGTGGACTTGCGCGGCTATGCCTACGTTTGTGCAAGAAGGTTCACGACGCAGTGACGGGGGTGTTAATAACGAGACTTGTGGACGCGAGGCATCAGGACGACGGTACGCGCGAGGACATACGGCTAGCTGCGCGAATGGCGGACATGACTCTGTGCATATCATGGTTTCGCCTCGCCAAGGTGCAAGTTCCGTGTTCTCCAATCAAGACTTGCCAACAATCTATCCCTAAAGACCTCTCCAATCCACACTTATGTGTCAACAACCGTTGCCTGAATAATCTGACGGCGGAGATGGCGGTGAGCGTTAGGGCTAGCTAGGATGTGATCTATCCATCTATCGGCTAACGACTTGTAGCACCTCTTGTACCCCTATCCTTTATGAAGGATAGCGACCATGTACTTGTGCTTTTGTACATTTGTTTCTGTTTCTCGCAGAAGCTTTATAATAAACCCTGTTATATTCTACCAGAATTTGTTACTACCTTCTCGAAATTGACTGACCAGACATACGCGCATTGATATTTGACCATGGCCGACCCTCCTAGCGGGTTTCTTGGGAACTGTTTTCTTCTGCCGCCAGAATTAGCTGACTAAGGCCGTGTAACAGGGGTAGAGGGTGGGTGTCGGAAACACCAAGCTGTTCGATCCGAAAGTTGCGTTGCGACATCTTTCTGTTCGACGCGCACACCTTCGTGAATGCACACCAGCATTCGTGAGCACCGGCGGGACCTTCAAAAGGGGCATTGAATGTGCCATCATGCGGAACATCATGTACAGTAACGCTTGCGGTAAAAAAAAAAAAAAAAAAAAAAAAAAAAATCCAACCCACTAGCTTTCATCAACCTCAGGCAAACCACGGCATATCCTACAACATGCATCCTTTTCAATAAAGCATACTGACTCCCAAGTTAAATCCTAGGTTCACTCCCAAGGGTCAAGTGTTTGAAGCGCTCGGTTCATGCGCCTAACCTCAGCCTGCTGCTGCGAATCCAGACGATTCACATAATTCTCAATAAGCTTGCGGAAATTCATATCCTGGTACATGATGCGGTAACTGAAGCTAATACCGGTGTGTGTTCCACCCTCTGCTCCATGTGCAACTCCCAGATCTGGCAGCCAATTCATATGCATGAGCTGGTGGGGTGTGGGATGGGTGTATGAATGCATGGAAAAAGGGGAGGATGCAGGAAGTGCACACAAAGGGCAAAGATACACTTGCTAGAGCGAAATTGTGGTGAAGGTGTTTTTTTCTCGGTGGGACTGGATGGCAACACATGCACTTGTTGTGTATGAGTGGGTGGGGGTGGGTTGGGTGCATGCATGCAAGGAAGAGACGGGAGAGCACAAGACAACTACGGTATGCTCTAGCTACACATGTGCACACATATACAAATGCATGCACACACACATCCATGCATTCACAGATCTCCACACATGCACTTTCATGCACAAGCAGAGGTACACACGCACCTATATGTGGCACATCATCTCCACATCCACGTCATCATCTCCCCATCCACATCATCATCTCCACATCCACATCATCATCTCCCCATCCACATCATCATCTCCCCATCCACATCATCATCTCCCCATCCACATCATCTCCCCATCCACATCATCATCTCCCCATAAACGTCATCATCTTCCCATACACGTCATCATCTCCACATCCACGTCATCATCTCCACATCCACATCATCATCTCCCCATTCACGTCATCATCTCCCCATTCACGTCATCATCTCCACATCCATGTCATCATCTCCACATCCACATCATCATCTCCCCATCCACATCATCATCTCCCCATCCACATCATCATCTCCCCGTAAACGTCATCATCTCCCATACACGTGATCATCTCCACATCCACGTCATCATCTCCACATCCACATCATCATCTCCCCATTCACGTCATCATCTCCACATCCATGTCATCATCTCCACATTCACATCATCATCTCCCCATTCACGTCATCATCTCCCCATTCACGTCATCATCTCCCCATCCACGTCATCATCTCCCCATTCACGAAAACAAAGCCGCTACTCTAGCTGAGTTATAACATGCAGGAGAACAGAAATAGCAGAAGGGTGACTCCCGGGACCCATAATAGCACTCTGCCTGCAAACCTACCAGTAAGCCGGCAAACCAACCAGCAAGCCCTCAAACCCACCTGCATGCCGGCAAACCACGCCCGAAACGTCATCTGCCAGTCCGCCATGATAGCACTCTGCCCCCTTGGAGCCTCCCCCTCATCCAACCCCCCCAGCAGCAAATACTTATCCCTCCGCATCACAAACGGTGCAAAATCCAACACCCCGGCAAAGTAACTCCTGATACCAGTCCTCCTGTCCTGGCTTGGATGTGAAAATATTTCATAAGGTTGCCGATACCAGGAATTGATTTCTCCCCATAGCGGCCCATTCATGTCCACTCTTCCCGTGCGGTAGCCCACTGCTGCTACAGCCGGCCGCTGCTTCATCAGCCGTAGGATCCGCCAGATCCAACGGCAGTTGGGCGGCAGGATATCGTCGTCTTGCAGGAGCGCGATTGTGGTTCCCCGGGCAGTGCGGGCGGCCGTGTTGTACCCTCTTATTTCGTGGGCGTTGTGGTTGAATACCACCCTGAGGAAACGGCCGTTTTTGAACTTGTCCCCGTCACCACCACCACCACTACCACCGCCACCGCCACCGCTGCTGCTGCTGCTGCTGCTGCTGCTGCTGCTGCTGCTGCTGTCACCAGAATCCGTGCCGTCTGTTAGTGCTCCTGAGCAGGGAGCTGTAGCACACCATTGTTCCTTCCATTCCCTCCATGCACTCGGCTCGTCCACATTCGCTATCAGCTCAACCACAGGGTAATATCCCCCCTCCCCTGGCCCCCTTCCTCCCTCCCTTTCTCCTCTGCTTTCCCCCACCTCATCCCCCACCCTCCCCCGCACCCCTGCCCCCTCCGCCTTCGTTTCCCCCACCTCTTCCCCCACCCCGCCCCCCACTCCTTGCCCCACATCCGCCTTAGCACACTCCATAGGCGGTCCAACTAGACTTGGGATCATACCCGGCTGCCGAAAGTACTGCAAGAGGAAAGAGACGGCAGGAGGGGAGGAGGGGAAGAGGTGGGGGGAGAGCCTGGCGAGGGGGGAAGAAGCTCGGAAGCCCATGCAGGTTCGGGCAGCCCTCCCTGTCTCCTCCCCACTGCACCACCACGAGTTGCTGCTGCTGCTGCTGCTGCTGCTGCTGCTGCTGCTGCTGCTGCTGCTGCTGCTGCTGCTGCTGCTGCTGCTGCTACGACTATTTGTCTGGGTGACTTTGGCTGCGTCTGAAACACGAGTGCCAGGGTTTACCCTTCTGCTACTGCCCTTCCCACTCCCACTCCTACTCCCACTGTGGCGATTAGCCTCTCCCCTCTCTCCCCCTCTCCCCTTCTCCTCCCACCTCTGCAACGCCTCTTCGGCTCTCTCCTTTTGGGAAAGCAGCAGGCGGGGCAGGGGAAAGCTGCAGGGAGGGGAGGAGAGGAGGGAGCGTAGGTACCGAACCCGATGGTGCAGCCTTATGTGACGAGGGGGGTGAGAGGAGGAGGAGGAGGAGGAGGAGGAGGAGGAGGAGGAGGAGGAGGAGGAGGAGGAGGAGGAGGAGGAGGAGGAGGAGGAGGAGGAGGAGGAGGAGGAGGAGGAGGAGGAGGAGGACAAAGCCGAGTCGGGCCCTTTTTGTTGCCAAATAGACCGCTGTCGATGCAACTGCAGCGCTTCAGCATACATGAGAGCGATCCTATCGTGTTCCATGAGCAATGCCATACATCTCCCTGCTGCCTCCTTGGTTCCCTTGGGCATTCTTCTTCGCCCTACACCCCCCTCCTCGTTCCTTCCCCATCCGCTCCTCCTCCCCGGCCTCCCTTCTGCATCCCCTCTTCTCCCCCTTCCTCCTTCCCCTTCTCCTCCTCCTCCTTCCCCTCCCCCTACACCGAGCCCACCCATCACCCCGTGCTGCTTTCCCCCCCCTCCCCCTGCCTCTCCCCATGCGTGCATCCTTCCTCCCACTTCTGTCCAGGCGGAGTTGGGGGACTGGCTTGGGAGAGAACCGTTTACAAGTACTGTGGGGGTGTGGAGAGAAATTTCCTGGAAGGCACGAGGGGGAATTGGCAGATATTAAACGGAGAAAAAGAGGGTAATTTGTCTTCGATTTGATTGGATGAGATGAGACGTAAGGAGAGTGGGAGAGTGCAACACAGGCGCTAATTGCAAATCATGTCATGGATTGAAAATAATATAGAACAAGAACAGAAGTAATCTACTTTACAGGCAGCAGCAGTATACTGTATACCCCATATAAGGAGTTCCATTCCATTATAACATGCGCATGAAGAATATAACATACCTCCTTAGCCACATTAAGGATGACTGCTATTGGATGGTCCTCGTCAGCTTTATTCTTCCTTATAACGCCCGAACCTCCCTCCACAACCTCGCCCCCCCTCCCCCTCTCCCTACCCTCATCCCCTTCCCTCCTCCCCACCCTTCCCCCTGCCGCCAACACAGAATTTCTCAGCCAATCAGAATAGAGGAGGTCACGGGATTGGCGGATATGGAGGAGGTGAGAGAGAAGGGCGGAGGGAGAGGGGGGAGAGGAGGGTGAGGGGGAAGAGGAGGATCCGGTTGTAGCACCATCAGTGATTGCAGGAACTTCAGCAGCCGTTGTAGCAGCATCAACGGTTGTGGCAGAATCAGCAGTTGTAGCAGCATCAGTTGCAGTGACAGCATCAGTTACAGTGACAGCATCGGTGGCAGACGCAACATTATTAGCTGTAGCAGCATCAGCGGTTGTTGCAGCATCAGCGGTTGTTGCAGCATCAGCGGTTGTAGCAGCATCAGCGGTTGTAGCAGCATCAGCGGTTGTTGCAGCATCAGCGGTTGTTGCAGCATCAGCGGTTGTTGCAGCATCAGCGGTTGTTGCAGCATCAGCGGTTATTGCAGCATCAGCGGTTGTAGCAGCATCAGCGGTTGTAGCAGCATCAGCGGTTGTTGCAGCATCAGCGGTTGTTGCAGCATCAGCGGTTGTTGCAGCACCAGCGGTTGTTGCAGCATCAGCGGTTGTTGCAGCACCAGCGGTTGCAGCAGCAGCATCAGAAGCTGTAGCAGCATCAGTGGTTGTGGCAGCATCAGTAGGTGCAGCAGCGGTACCAATTTCAGCATCTTTGCTTCTAGAGGAATGGGTAGGATCTGGTATCAGCGCTGATTCAGACAGATCCTTGGCAGTACCAGTGGTTGCTGACTCAGCTGCATTCGCTTCTGACTCAGACGATGGCTGCGGTGAGTCAGCGGCAGCAGATGCTGACTCAGCAGGAGAGCGTGCAGGGACGCGCTTAGCTGGCGCATGGTGGTCCGGATGCCTGGTGGTGAGAGAGGGAAAGTAGGAACATAACTCCAGGAACACATGAGGGGAAGTAGGGTTCAAGATATCGGAACGGGGTTCTGGGTTTGAGGGTCGAAGTTAAATAGTTTGGGGTTTTGGGCAAAATTATCTGGTAGAGGGGAAAGAAAGGAAGAATGGGGCAACAGAAGAGAGACAAAGATGTGTAGGAATGGTGTATTAAATGCTAGATTGCTGTGGTGAGACAGGAGGAAAGGCGGGTCGGATGATGGGAGGGTGGGAGGGTGGGGGGCTGGGTGGGAGGGAGCATTGTTCAAGAAAGGACGTGGGACACCCCCCCACACACAGAAAAACACACACACGTCACACTAACAGACATAGACACACACAAATAACACGCGCGCGCGCGAGCACACACACACACACACAAGCAGCCTCACACTCACAGACACACATGCACTAGTCAGTGACACAAGCAAGGGAGAGAAGGTGTTTGTTTACAATCAAGTCGAGAAATTTCAAAAGAGAGAGAAGGGAGAGGAAGCAGGTGCACTCACTTGACTGTGTGGCTGAACTGAGCGAGGGGGTCATGATGGCATTGCATGGTTGCCACGTGTAAATACATGCACACATGCACACATACACGCACATGCACACGCGTGTTCACATACACGCACACACATGCATGTTCACGCATGCACGCATGCACGCACACATGCACACGAACAACCAGAAGACGTGACTTAGAAATTGATGACACAACGGCTACAGCGCCTGGCCTGCTACAGCATTAGGAGCACGCAACTGGCAGCGCGCCAGTTTTCTTTTACCTAGCGTCCCCCCCCTCCTCACCTCTTTCCCCACCTCCCCCTCCCCTCCCTTCTGTCCCTTTGGCTTACCTTGTCGATGGCTCCAGGGGCGCATGGGGAGGGGCACACGAGGAGGAGAAGCAGGAGGGGGAGGAGGGCAGCGGAGAGCCGCGCAGCACCAACTCCCATCGTACTGCCCCGCACCGCGCGCCTCTGGTGATTCAGCTGCGATGCGCTCTCTGCGCCTTTCATGCGCCGCCGCCCTTTGATTTCCAGCCCGCCCCCTCCCCCCTTATTCCCAGACCTCCGCCTCCCAGACCTCCGCCTTATTCCCAAGCCTCGGCGGGGTTTGTTTCCTATGCTAAACTACTACTAAAAAAAAAAAAAAAAAAAAACAGTTTGAATCTCGCAAATGCCCCGCTGCTGCTGCTCGCTACCTTTCACGCGCACTTGTGATTTCATATCCATCTCCCTGCCTCTCTTACGTGCCGCGCGACATTGTATGCGCCTACTCAGTCGACTCATAAGCCTATTTCATACTCGATATCTATCGTACAAACCAGTGGTAACCTTCGTTCGCAATACCGGGAATGACCCTTTATAACCCCGCAACCACACCCGTCTATTTCAATCCGGGCTGTCTCGGGTGGTTCCGTATACGCTCGTGCTGTACCTAGCATATCATCTGATCATGAACAGGACGAATGAGAATGCTAAAAAGGCTTTGCTTTGCGTATCTGAACCAGGGAGTGGGCTATCTTTCGTGTTTCTAGGCAGAATGCTGATTTAACACTGGTGATTAACAAGCCCATGAAACCTCCCCGGAGCGATCCCCGTGCATTAATCCCCTGTGCAAGCGCAGTGCCTAATTACTATCTTATCGTGGTAATCGGCTCGCGTCCCTCGAGACATCCATCCAGATCGTTGGATGGTGGCGGCACTAGGAACCTGGGATTGCATATCACGGAGCTCCATTGAGCCGACAGGCAGCTGTGGTGTACAGAGGTGCAGTCGTGGGGACGTGTGGGTGCCAACCTCTTTCACGATATAGGCACTGCAAATGGTTGCAGAATCATAATAACCAGCCCTTTCTTCCTGGGCGAGCTCTTATCGAGTTCATACTCAACCCGAGGAGATTCACTTCAGGGAGTGAGGTGAGGTTGGGGCTGGTGAGGCTGATAAGTTGATTAGGGGAAGATTAGTGGGCATGTTTATCAGGAGAGGTCTCAGGCTGTGATCGTATATGACATCGGAGCATACCATAAGCTGGGAGAGACAAACTGGGAACCCAGTTAGATGGTAACTTGCTCTCGTCAGCAGTGTACAACACGTCCGTCAATTTCGTCCATGCGATTAGGTTACCAGGCCTTGTTTGCGTTGCGTGAACGACAATTGGAAAAGCAAGAGATTGTCGCCGATTTGTCGGTCGCCTCGCCTCCACTGGCTGACGGCTTCGGTTGGGACGGAGCGTCGTCTGACCAGTCATTAACCGCCACTTCATCGAGGGCTCAACCGATGAAAGGTTTCGAACCAGCAGGGACGACGGTACGGGTCTGACCTGTTGCGTTGTAGTCGGCGACTGAATGGATTTGGAGAATGACGGCTGGCGAATAAATCTCTCTGTTACACGCGGAACCACGTGTGGTGTTCTGGAGGAGCCGAGCCTGTTTGTGAGCAGTGTGATGTTTCGCGAAATTTCAGGAAGCGTGATTCGTGGATGTCTTCTCAAAATGGGCAATTTGAAGGCGACCCCTCGCTAGGACGCATCCACATTCACAAAATCCTGCGCAATGACTGCTGATGTGGTACAGCTTCGGTGTATTTTGCTTGTTACGAGTGGTTACCACGCTGTGAGAGGCTGAATTCACGAAGACGCCCTCCTCCACGCACAAACAAGCAAAGCTCCGAGATGATGGCGATGTCTAGGCACATCTGTTTTGCTCAAAATATGCAGGATCGAGGAAATCAGGGAATTCCGAGAGATTAGTAGAACGCCGAGCAAAACACCTCGCTCGCTCCTGTTTGCTGAGCTAATCTTCTCTCTAAGTCACCTTGAGCCGGTGCTGATACAAGAACTCGGGTTGAAAGGAGCTCAAACCTTCGGGAACAGCAGCAGGCGCGTCGCAGAACGAGTTTCCGCACCTATTCCGTTTTGTTCTCCCCTTTGATGCTTCCCCTCTGATCTGTGGCTAGACTATCCATCCCATTATAGATTTCCTAGTCGTATTTATTCACGATTGCCAGTTCCCGTCGCTTCTTGAGCATCTGCCTGACGTGCAGAAGAATTGGGCTAGAGTCGCGCATCCTTGTCGTATTGCATTGTTTCGCATTCCATCGTTGTCGCATCGCATCCTTGTGGCATCGCATCCGTCTCGCATATCCCATTCTTATCGCATCCGTGAACCTCATTCTTGTCGCATCGCATTCGTGCCGCGCCGCGCATTCCTGTCGCATACAGCATACACTAGTAAAACGATCTGAAGCGATCACCTTCAGTGTGGCTACGGCTTCCACGCTTCCTCTTTGAAGCAGGCGGTCCTTCCAGGACCGATCAGTACTGATCAGCTCCTATCAGGACCGATCCTCTGGATTGCGCCTTGATCTCTTTTTTTTCGTGGCCGAACCAACGGAATATAATCTGAATCGTATCGTACACCGACGTCGGAGTCAAATTGAGGCGGAACAAAGCTTTCTTTCGTTCCAAGGGTGGAAAAGACGCTGACGATTATTTCAGGCCGGCGTCAGAGTTGTCCCGAGCAAAAGCGCGCGCGGAAAACGTCTCCTCGGTTCCCCGCGTCTCTCCGCGTCCCTTCGCCTCCCCCCTGCCGTCGCGCCCGGCATGAGCATGGAAGCCCGCGGAAACGGCATGGGGCTGGGCGCAGAAACCGCGGAAGCTGCTGCGCGCGCGGAGAAGACCGGGGGAAGGCCGTGGGAAATTCGGCTGCCAGGCGGAGAAGGTGAGCGGAAAGGAGCAGCGGAAGGTGGGGATGCGGCGGAGAACGGCGGGGAGAAGGCGGAAAACGGCGGGGAGAAGACGTCCCCGCAACAGCAGCGGGAGCTTGGTCGGCAGCAGTCTGCAGAGGTGGCCGGGAGGGATGAAAGCGGAGCGACGGACGAGGAGGACGAGGAGGAAGATAAGATGTATGGCGGATTGTTGAAGCTTCGAATGAAGAAGCTGTCGGTCAGCTTGAATCAGGTGCGAGGAAACTGAAACAAAAAGCATGAAATCTCTAATATTTATAAGATGTACATATATAAAAGTACAGAAACAATGTGCAAATCCCATCCTGCTCTCCCGCCTTGTTGCCAGCCCTGTTTCCCTTTCTCCCTCTTGGTTCTCCCTTCTACCTTCCTCTCCCGCCTGCGCCATTTCTATCCTTTCTCTTTACCCACAGTCCCCCCCTGACTTTCCCCTTCTCCCTTCTGGCCCCCTCTTCCCCCTTCTTGCTTCCCCCTTCCTCCTACCCGCTTCCCCCTTCCCCTTCCCTCTTCCCCCTTCCCCCAATCGCTCTTCCTCCATCTAACTTCCCCCTCCCCCCTTCGTCCCCGCTTCCCCACTGCCGCCACAGCCGCGCATGAGCGCATGGGACCTTGACCGCGAGGGGGAAACGGCTCCCAGCGGGAAGGCGGGGGCAGGCGGGCGGGGGAAGGGCAGGGGTAAGGGCGAGGGGGAGGAGAAGGGGGAGGAGGCGGGGGCGGATGGGCGGCACGCGCCCGCGCAGAGCAGCACAGATGACATGGAACCCGTTGTGCTCACTCCCACGTATGTTAATTAGTGAATCGTGATGCATGGAACCTGTTGTGGTACCAATACCTGGACGCTGCTGTGCGCTATCCTTTTCTCTACCCTGTGCTCTATGCTGTCCCTTGAGCAGCACAGATGACATGGAACCCGTTGTGCTCACTCCCACGTATGCCCCTCAGGTTACTCATTTGGTGTAACTCATCTCGTGTTACACATGCTCTCTACTGAGCTCTACCCGCTGTTTCTCAACCCCTGCTCTCCGCCATATCACACTCCCCTGAACCCCCCTCCCGCCTCTATTTGCCCCCCCTCACTCTCCTCAAATGGTCCGTATATTGATTTCACTCTCCTCGAAGGATCTAGCCAGGCCAGGCAAGTCACGACTAGCTCACAATGCAATCTAACAAACTGACATGCAAGACAACTTCCTCTCACTCTCCTCTCTCTCCTACCCCTCCTTCCCCCCCTCCCTTCTCCCCCCTCCCTTCTCCCTCCTCTCTTCCCTCTCTCAGTGCTCGATCAGCAACAAACTCCCCACGCCACCACCACACACCCAAGTAAGCCAGTCTCTCTGTCCCAACACTTCTGTCCCTGTGCTGACATGGACCCAAAGAATATATATACATATATATATATATATATACATTTTTTTTTTTTCAAAGCTTCCCTCACCAGCCCTCTTACTCAACTCGCCTCCATCAGCCAGTCTGTCTGTCTGTCCTGTTCTGAAAACCAAGTCTCACTCGTCTCACCACCCCTCAGTCAGTAGCTCTCTTCCCCCCTCTCTCCCCGAACACACACGATGTCAGTCCCTGTGCTGTAATACAGCTTGATAAGCTACTCCCTCTCTTCAAAGTTCAAAGTGTAACTACTTCTCAGCAGCGCTCTCTCCCCCATCTCTGCCAGTTTTCCTCCTCCCCTACTCCATAACGCCCTTTCCCCGCCTTCCTCTCTCGATTGCCCATCAAGTCACCCACCAACCCACCAACTCCGTCCATGAAACCTCTATCCTTTTGCCCGTGTTTGTGGCTGATAGCGTTTGATCTGCAGCGCACTCTTCTTGACGTGACGTTTGAGTCGACTCAGAAAACGCTCCCCACCGCACCCAACTCTACCCCACCATCTCCATCCGTGAAACCTCTACCTCTCTTCTATCTGTGTGTGTCTCTGACTGGCAGTGTTCGGTCTGCAGCGCACTCTCCCCGGCACTACTCCCCCAGGTACCCTCTCCTGCTCCTGCTACACACTTGCCTTCGCCCTCTTGCTCGCTCCTTTCCAACTCTCACTCTCTCCATCTCTTCTTCACACACACAGTCACGATCTTTGTTGTTTCTGTCCTTTTTTTTTTCCGTAAAACCCTGAAGTCTGCATTCAATCCCTCCCCGAGCCCATGTTTTGCGACCCCCTCTTCCTCCTCCTCCCCTCCATCTACCCCTCTCCTTCCCCCCACCCGCCCAGCCTGACCATCCGGTCCGGCCTGACCACGCCCATGGGATCGGCGAGAGGCTCGGCAGCTTTTATGGTGGATCAGATGGTGGGGGACGCGTGGGACGTGCTGAGGCGCTCCCTGGTGCTCTTTCGGGGGAAGCCCGTGGGGACCATCGCAGCCATGGACAACACAGAGTCGGCTCTCAACTACGACCAGGTATGTATGAGTTGATTGGAAGGGGTAGAGAGGGGAGAGGAGAAAAGGGGGAGGTAGGGCACAGTTTTTCCTTCCGGGGGAAGCCCGTGGGGACCATCGCTGCCATGGACAACACAGAGTCGGCTCTCAACTACGACCAGGTATGTATGAGTTGATTGGAAGGGGTAGAGAGGGGAGAGGAGAAAAGGGGGAGGTAGGGCACAGTTTTTCCTTCCGGGGGAAGCCCATGGGGACCATTGCTGCCATGGACAACACAGAGTCGGCTCTGAATTACGACCAGGCATGTATGGGAGGGGGAAAAGAGAGAAAAAGGGAGGTAGGGCACAGCTTTCTCTTCTGGGGGAAGCCCGGGGACAATCGCTGCTGGACAACACAGAGTCGGCTCTGAACTACGACCAGGTATGAGCTGGTTTGGAGGAGGAAGGGAAGAAGAAGGTACAGTTACAAGCTGTTGTCACTCTGCCAGCCTCTTTCCCCTCCGTTTCCCTGCTCCCTGCTCACACACCCCCACTCTTCCACCCCCCCAACCCCCCCTCCCTCCGTCGCCCTCTTCCACGCTTCCTCTCTCTTTCTCCCTCCCCCCCTCTGCAGGTGTTTGTGCGTGACTTTGTGCCGAGCGCGCTGGCGTTTCTGATCAACGGGGAGCACAGCATCGTCGAGAACTTCCTCCTCAAGACGCTCCGGCTGCAGGTAAGCATTAGAGAAGACTGATAGAGAAAAAGCCCTGCAGGTAACTGTTAGAGCTCTGCAGCTGGTAAACCGGCAGAGAGATGGGCGCGCATGTGGGAAGGAAAAAGTGCAGGTGCAAGCTGCATGTGGGAAACCGCTGGAGTGATGGGCGTGCGTGGGGGTAAGCGAGTGAACGAGCCTCTCTTGGTACCAAGAGAGGCCATCGCGTGGGGGCGGTCGTTCTTATCAACGGGGATCACTGCATCGTCGACAATGCCCGCCTCGAGACCCTCTGCCTGCAGGCGGGTAGATCAGTGATAAGATATAGAGCAGGCGGAAGGTCTTGAGGGTCTCCTCTCCTCTAGCTCCTAGAGCTGCAGACAGGTACCCGCCTCTAGTAGCTAGAGGAGAGGAGACCTTCAGACGGGTACCCGCCACTGCCTCTCCTATCCCCGCTTCCTTCCCTTCCCATCTGTGAATCTCTCACCCCTGCTCCCCACACCACACACGCACCGGGCAGTGGGTAGACGCGTTCACTCTAGGTGTGGTTTGAGGCGCCTCAAAACACACCAGGCAGTGAGTAGACGTGTTCACTCCACTCTAGGGGAAGGAGTCGTGCTCGCGCCCTTCACTGTGCTGCACGACCCTTCACACTCCTGAGAGGGCAAATGTTCCTGTTTGTTCCCTCAAACACCCCCCTTCCCCCCCAACCCACACCCACCCCCCACACACATCAGGCGTGGGAGAAGCGGGTGGACGTGTTCACTCTGGGGGAAGGAGTCTTGCCCGCGTCCTTCAAAGTTCTGCACGACCCTTGAGGCGCCTCAACCCCTTAACCCCTCCTCACACGCCCCCTGACACGCATCAACACACCCACCCCCCGACACATACCAGGCGTGGGAGAAGCGGGTGGACGTGTTCACTCTAGGGGAAGGAGTCTTGCCCGCGTCCTTCAAAGTTCTGCACGACCCTTGAGGCGCCTCAACCCCTTAACCCCTCCTCACACGCCCCCTGACACGCATCAACACACCCACCCCCCGACACATACCAGGCGTGGGAGAAGCGGGTGGACGTGTTCACTCTAGGGGAAGGAGTCATGCCCGCGTCATTCAAAGTTCTGCACGACCCGAAGCGCGGCACCGACACCATGATAGCCGACTTTGAGGAGAGCACTCTTGTGCTCCCTCTCCTTTCCAGGAAAAGGACTTCAGCTGATTCCAAGGCAACCTTCCTTCCCTTTTCCTCTGTAATCCCCTGTCCTCCCCTTCGCCAACCCCCCAACCCCCGAGCACCAGGCGTGGGAGAAGCGGGTGGACGTGTTCACTCTAGGGGAAGGAGTCATGCCCGCGTCCTTCAAAGTTCTGCACGACCCGAAGCGCGGCACCGACACCATGATAGCTGACTTTGGGGAGAGCGCTATCGGGCGTGTGGCCCCCGTTGACAGTGGCTTCTGGTGGATCTTCCTTCTTCGCGCTTACGTCAAGGCCACAGGTGAGTGTGCAGTGCTGCTGTTTGCCCCGTGTAAGCACATGCTGATGCTCGTGCATGTGGGAGGTACCATGATAGCTGATTTTGGGGAGAGTGCTATCGGGCGTGTGGCCCCGGTCCACAGCAGCTTCTGGTGGATCTTCCTGCTGCGTGCGTATGTGAAAGCCATAGGTGGGTGGGTGCTGCTGTTTTTCCGGTGTGAGCACATGCTGATGTGGGTGCGTTTTGAGGCACAGACATTATGATGGCCAACTTTGGGGAGAGCGCTATCGGGCGTGTGGCCCCTCCCTGTGGACAGCAGCTTCTGGTGTCGGGCGCAGCGCGAAGCAAGAAGCGTTGGCTGACTCACCGGACTGCCAGAGGGGCATGAGGCTGATCCTGGATCTGTGTCTGGCGGATGGGTTTGACACCCCAGTTCACACATTCTCGGTTCCGTTCACTCCCTCCCTTGCTTGCAGGCGATCAAGCGTTGGCCGACTCACCGGACTGCCAGAGGGGCATGAGGCTGATTCTCGACCTGTGTCTGGCGGATGGGTTTGACACCTTCCCCACGCTGCTATGTGCTGATGGCTGCTGCATGATCGATCGACGCATGGTGAGAGACGAGTGGGGGTCTATGGGGGAGGGAGGAATGGGGATGGGAGGAAGGGGACATGTGTAGATGGGAGGAGAGGGGGGGAGAGGGGGGGGGGGAGGGACGATCCAGAATGATCTGATGAAAAAAATTACCATCTTTTTTTTTTCATCCTTCCCCTCTCCCCCCCCCTCCGTGTCCTTATCCTCGTTATAGGGCATTTACGGGTACCCGATAGAGATCCAATCACTGTTCTACATGGCACTGAGAGTGGCGCGCTCACTGCTTCGGGCGGACCTGCCGATAAACAAGGACCTGCTGGACCGCATTGACAAGCGCCTCATAGCGCTCACCTTCCACATGCGCACCTACTTTTGGTGGGTAAATGAGGGGGGCGGGAGGGCTTGTGAGGGGCTTTCTTGCTGGTTTGGGGGCTTACTGTTTGGCTGCTGTAAGGGGGACGCTGTTTTGCTGGTGCGTGGGGGTCCCGTTTGGTGGTCTACGGGGGCGCTGTGTTTCTGGTGTGGGGAGGGGGAGGGGGAGGGGGGCGCGGTCGCTGCTGAGGGCAGACCTGCCGCATTGACAAGCGCCTCACTGCCCTCACCTTCCACATGCGCACCTACTTCTGGTGCGTGTGTGTGTTGGGGAGGGTGGGGGTGAAGTACTTACTGTTTGGCTGCTGAGGGGGTATGCTATGCTGTCTGCTGGACCGTATCAACAAGAGGCTCATCCCATCACACCATCCACTTCCCTCCACTCTCCCCATCCCACCTCTCCTTCCCTCTTTCCTCCTCGTCCCACCACCACCCAGGCTGGATCACGAGCAGCTGAACAGCATATACCGGTACAAGACAGAGGAGTATTCACCCAACCTCCCGACCCTCTCTCTCCCTCTTTCGTTGCCGCCTTCCTTCTCTTCTCATCCCTCTCCTCCCCAGGCTGGATCACGAGCAGCTGAACAGCATATACCGGTACAAGACGGAGGAGTATTCACACACGGCGGTGAACAAGTTCAACGTCATCCCCGAATCCATCCCCGACTGGCTCTTTGACTTCATGCCGCTCAAGGGCGGCTACTTCATTGGGAACGTTTCCCCCGCTCGCATGGACTTCCGGTGAGTTCACTCGGAGGCATCCTGGTTTGCTTGCCAGGGGCACGCACGCACCTAGGTAACATTTCAGGTGGCTCCTGGTAGAGGTGTAACATACTGGCTCTTTGACTACATGCCGCTCAAGGGAGAAAACGGTACTTCATTGGAAACGTTTTTTCCCGCTCGCATGGACTTCCGGTGAGCTGGCTTGGAGGCGTCCTAGTTCGCTTGCCTGTGGCGCTCACCTAGGTAACACTCAGGTGGCTCCTGGTAGAGACGTAACACTCAAACGTAACCGACTGGCTCTTTGACTTCATGCCGCTCAAGGGAGGATGCTTCATTGGAAACGTCTTGCCCGCCCGCATGGACTTCCAGTGAGTGCTGTGCTTGGTGGGTCATTGCCGTCCTCTCCTGCGCGGCAACAGGCAACACAGCCGGTAAGTGTGTGGCTCTTTTCCGTTAAGTCGACGCAATGCCGTTCCCCTGCCAAACGAGCCCCAAGCCCCCCCACCAACCTCCCCCACCCTCTCCTTCCCCCATCTTAGGTGGTTCACCTTGGGCAACTGCGCTGCCGTCCCCTCCTACATGGAAACGGGCAACACAGGCTGCAAGAAATTCTTTCTTTCTTTCTTTCTTTCTTTCTTTCTTTCTTTCCTGTTGATTCGATCCACCCCTCCCAACTCCCCCCCCCCCCCTGTCAAACAAGCCCCAACCCCAACCCTGCTCTCAGCTGGTTCACCCTGGGCAACTGCGTTGCCATCCTCTCCTGCATGGCAAGCAAGAAGCGAGGTGGCTCCAATGTCTGTTTCCTCTTCTCACTGCTTTCTGCTGCTTCGCCCCATATCCCTACCTTTACCAAATCAACCTACTCCACCAGCTGGTTCACCCTGGGCAACTGCATTGCCATCCTCTCCTGCATGGCAACGGGCGAGCAGGCGGCAGCAATCATGGACCTTATAGAGGAGCGCTGGGACGAGCTTATAGGGGAGATGCCGCTCAAAGTGACCTACCCTGCGTTGGAGGGGCATGAGTGGAGGATCACGACGGGGTGTGATCCGAAGAACACCCGGTGGAGCTACCACAACGGAGGGTCGTGGCCGGGTGAGTCGTGTGACAATGTAATGAGGTTGAATTTATGTGTAACGAGGTGAAATTTGAGTAACAAGGTGAGCTTTGAGTGTATTGAAGTGGCTTATAGGGGAGATGTTGCTGGAGGTGACTTACTCTTTCTTGGAGGGGCATGAGTGGAGGATCACGACGGGGTGCGATCCGAAGAACACGGGTTCCTAATCCCACTCCCCACAAACCCTCGTATCCTCCCCCCCCCTCTCCCCCCCACAACCCCTCCCACCCCCCTCGCCAGTGCTGCTGTGGATGCTCATGGCTGCCAGCAGTGGGTCGTCCCAACATGGCGCGCCGGGCAATTGACGTGGCGGAGAAGAGACTTTCACGGGTCAACTGGCCGGAGTACTATGACGGGAAGCATGCCATTGTCACACCCCTCCAGTCCATCCCCTGGCATCAATGATTTCCGTGTTATCTCCGCTCCCGTGCTCCCCCCTCCCTGCCATGCCTTGTCCCCTGTGCCATCCCCCCACTCACCCCACTCCCCCCCGCCAGTGCTGCTGTGGATGCTCACGGCTGCGAGCATCAAAGTGGGCCGCCCACACGTTGCGCGCCGGGCAATAGACGTGGCGGAAAAGAGACTCTCACGGGACAACTGGCCTGAGTACTACGATGGGAAGCTCGGGCGGTATGTGGGGAAGCAGGCGCGCAAGCAGCAGACGTGGAGCGTGGCGGGGTACCTAGTGGCGAAAATGATGCTGGAGGATCCGAGTCATTTGGGGATGGTGGCGTTGGAGGAGGAGAAGATGCTGCAGCAGCCGGTGATCACTCGGTCACACTCTTGGAAGCTCTGATTTGACGGGGAGGAGGACGAAGGGAGAGGGGGTTGTGGGTTTGGGGTAGGGGAAAGGGTGCTGGTCCGAGATGTGGTGAGGCTTATGTGTATGGGCAAGCTGGAGGGGAACGGGGGTGAATGGCGGAGGATGTGGGGTGGCGAAAATGATGCTGGAAGATCTGAGCCATCTGGGGATGGTGGCGTTGGAAGAGGAGAAGATGCTGCAGCAGCCGGTGATCACTCGGTCGCACTCTTGGAAGCTCTGATTTAACGGGGAGGAGGACGAAGGGAGAGGGGGTTTTGGGTTTGGGATAGGGGAAAGGGTGCTGGTCTGAGATGTGGTGAGGCTTATGTGTTTGGGCAAGTTGGAGGTGAACAGGGATGAATGGCGGAGGATCTGGGGTGGCGAAAATGATGCTGGAGGATCCGAGCCATATGGGGATGGTGGCGTTGGAAGAGGAGAAGATGCTGCAGCAGCCGGTTACCACTCGGTCGCACTCTTGGAAGCTCTGATTGGAGGAGATCGGTCAAGGAAAAACTGCGGTGGAAGCTCCGTAAAGGAGAGTATCAAGGAAAGGATTGCCAGGTTACATCCTTGGAATCCCTGGTTGGTGGGGAACAAGGGGGAAACGACGTGCAAACACACCGTAGTTGGTTGGCACAGGAAGAGTTTACTACGGTGCCAGTTTGCTTGAGAAGTTTTAAAGTGAGAAGAATCTTGTGGACTGTTGGACAGTAAAATAGTTCCATTGCTTGTGTAATTACTGGATAGAAATGCCTGCACTCATCGTTCTCTTCATCTAGCTTCATGTTGGGAAGCGTGAATTCACTCCACCTATATTTCATTACGGAGAAGTCCTGTCCTGGCACATAGCGAAAGCTGTAACTGACGAGGAAACGAATTTTGCCGGACCTGATCAGCCAAACCACGCGCTTGGTACTCGTTGCGGACACGGCGAAGTTGGAGGCAACCAAGTAATTTCGTCAAAAGCCTGTCGCGACTCGAAATCTTTGGGGAACGCAATCCCTGGTGGTGGTCGTAACCAGAGTTCCGTGGACAAGGTTGGAAAACAATTTTCGGTCAAAGGGGAGTGGAAGCATTTTGTGTCCCCGTCAAGCTGTCAGAGACGAAATTTAGATATAATTTCAGCATTTCACATGATTAGTTCTCAAGATAGCACAGGATGTAAACCAGACGAACGAGGTTTGTACTAAGGTAATTTCAAAATTAAATCCATCAACGGTTTTTGCAGACCCTGCAAAGCGCAGGCATCTCGAGCCGCGATGCTGACACGCAGAAACAGAAGGCCCGTGGTTGAACGCACGCATACACCAGCCGACGATCGCCATCAAATCAGAGGCCTCGACAATACCGATCACTCTGGCGAGCCCATTGCATGTGCGATCAGCAGGAGGTAACCACCTCGATCTCCCCCCTCGGCTGAAGCTGAACTTGACTGAGGTGCCAGTCGCTAAGTCGTTCAAGGCGTCGCATAGGCGACACCAGAAGTCGCTCGGCTCAGCTTGTCTTTGCTGACCAATTCCTCCACCTCCCCTTCCGCCTGCCCAATTTCGCGCGCCTGCGCCCTTCGCTCCGCTGCGTTGTTCGGGTAGGAGTCCGCTAGGTCACCTCTACTCGCACACCCCGCACCGCGCGTACTGCGGTTGGTCAAAGTGGGGTTTGGCTGGAGACGACTCGGGGGACTCGGGGGGAGCGCGGAGGGACTTTTGGGGGGGCTTGGGCAGGGGCAACTGCTTCGCTTCGAAATCTGCGTTGGCCCGATTGGTGTTGCCTCGATTTTGATGGTACAGGAGGGCAACACATATTCAACAATACGCAGCCCACGGTCTGGTTTGGCGCAATGCGTTTCAAAGCCAATATGCAGCACAAACCATGAAGATATGATGACGCGGTTTAAATAGACAAAATATCGTCAATCGCGATTGATATGCTAACTGGTTACCCTGTCTACTACATTGTAATTATGTTACAGTTCGCTTTTTGGCCCAATTTTTTGGAGTGTGTGAAGGCGACCGATCACAAATCGCGGGAGATCTATCAAATTTCAGTGGCGATCGTTACAGCGTCGCGATCTCCACATTTCGCCAATCGATCTGCCCAATCGATTGCGGGGATCAATATATGCAGACGATCCTGCGATATTTTCAATTCTACCGCGTCCTAAATGGAAGTGAACCATCAGCGGACCAGTCAGCGCGACACGCGCAAATGCTCCCCGCTCGGCTGGTCGCAAATGTTCGCAGACTCTTGGGAATTGGTCGCTCGCTGCTTATCATGCTCTTACTGGTCTGCGACTGTCAGGCCCTCTTCCCTGCCGGTGATTCTGTTGCTGGTTTTCCAAGTGCTCATCAGTCATGGGTTTGTGAGCCGTGACGGACGACATTCTCAAGGCTTGACTGAATCCCAACTTCTGGCTTTCGACTCCAGCTTCTGTCTTCCTCCAAGACGGACCCGCGTTACCCTTGTTGCCCACTAGAGCCACGGTACACAACAGCGACAGATTCCATAGCTGCGACGATCAACGATCCGTTTATTGATCTATGTGAGCTTGGTAGACACGTTTCTTCAGTTTATGACCAGGTAGCAGTTTGCTTCTAACCTGCTGCCCTGCTTTCTTGAACGCCGCTAAGTTGAACCCATCTTTCCCATTTTGCGAGATCGGGCAAATCAGCTCATTGTTCGCCGTAGAAACTCCTATTTCCTTCCGTTCTCCAGAGCGGACGAGTGAATTCGAAGGCGCTTCAGGTGCTGACACATCGGAGCCGCGTCTTCGATACGCGATTCGCTTCAAGTCGGCGACAGCTGGGCTTGTTCCGGCGTGTCTTCGCTCACCGTTTTCAAACGAAGGCTCACCGTCTCTCCCCTCTTCCGTCTCCATCTCGCGCTTTCGCCAGCGCTATTTCTTTCCCCCTCTCTCTCCCACACGCTCCCTTGCTTCTCCCATTTTACTCACCCGATTCTCTTGGGCCCATCACCCTTGTTCTCTCACGCTTGCTGATACCTTCACTTGCGTTCCGTCTGAGCCTGCAAGTCGCCACCCGCCATCCTTGCACCGCCTCGAGAACACACGCTCACCTGTGTTGTGAGCGCGCGACGCACAAGGGACCGGACCCGACTTTCTCACTCTCGCAAACGCCTTTTGAGTCTTGTCAGAACTCAACTAAACCCGACTCTCGCTCGCTCGCGGACGCCTTCGTCTGTGTTCCGTCAAAACCCTCCGCCTGCCGACGGATTCAGTCATGCAAGTCGACCATCCTCAACCACGTGCCTGGCAGCGTCATCTTGCCGGGCTCGGCGCCGCATCTGCCGCTCTCGGCAGCACATCCCCCACGTCTCCAAAACCCGCGGACCAGGTCAGCACCTCGCGGTCGATCTTCAACCTCATCAAGAAGACACGTGGCGCGCAGCCGTCCACGGGAGTCTCGGCTACGGGCGGCTCTGCTGGTCAATCAGGAAGCGTGGGACACGTAGGAAACGCAGCTCCTTCAGTGGGGCAGTATGGCGACTTGACGGGGCGTAACGGCGGCTCAGCGGTTACTCACGACTTGGGCCCGTCCACGGCAGCGCGCCAGCAAGCCACGTCGCAGCACGGCAGCGGCGGCGGTGGCGCCCCATCACCTCACCAGCCGCCGCCGCAAAGTTTGAAACAGCAAGCGCAGCACGAGGCGCCACCGCCGCGTCATCACGCTGCTGACGTGTCAATCGATCTGGCCGCTTTACGCGACCGCGCGGTCCGAAGCACGGCATCTGTAGTGGATTTCCGTCAGCAGCACATGGTGCGGTTCTTACGAGACGCCAATCTGCTCGCGCTGAAAGGGCGCCGCGCGTGCGCAATGGGGGGCGTGTGGGGGGCGCACGAGGACGTTCCGGTGGTGTGGGAAGGGGAGGCGGAGGCGGAAAGCTCTCGCGGATCGGCAAGCGCGGGGATGGGGAGCGGCGGAGGAAGGGGAGGGGGAGAGGCGGAGAGGCAAAGCCCGCGTTCGCACGGGTCCGGGGAGGGTTTTGCGCGGATGGGGGGGATGGCGCAGGGAGCGCGCGCGGGTGGGGGAGTCGGCGGAAAATTGCATTCACGGTGTGACGAGAACGCGTCGGCGCGGGAGAGAAGGCGGGAGGAGGATGTTCTAGGAGAGATTATCGCTGCTGCAGGAGCCGCCGATTGTGATTATAACAGCGCGGTGCCAGCAGCAGGGGTGACTGTAACGGGACTGGACGCGGCAGCAACGACAGCCGCCTCCGCCGCCACCACCGCTGCCACGAACGCCGAACGCGGAAAATTGGGGCGGCCCGGTATAGGTTCATATAAAGCCGTCGAGGGCGCGTTCGATGATGATCTGGTCCCTGCTGGGAGTAGGGTGTCACGGGCTGCGGCGAAACCAGGGGAGCAGGAGCTAAGGGGAGAGTCAGGGAGGCAGGAGAAGGGCGTAGAAAGGCAGAACAGCGGGAAGAAGCGGGGGTTGAGTCCGCTACGTCTGCGTCTCTCGTTGCAGTCACCTCGGCAGGGGAAGGAGGAGCAGCAGCAGAAACAGCAGCCGCAGAATTACCACCACTATAGTAACGCAGACCAGAGCCTGGACCGGCAGAGCAGCAGTTTGAATCAGGATAGTCACACCTCGTTTAGTCATACCACGGCCCCCCATACGCATCATCACCATCACGGTTTGTTTCATGGGCTGTTTAGAAGAAACTCTAAACCAACCTCTCAGCAGTCACACTCGCAGTTGTCACACTCGCAACAGTCACATTCCCACGGTCCCCTATCCCATCCGCAGCGCTCTTATACTTCCCCTGTTACCTCCTCTGATACGTCTGCTGCTGCAGCGGCAGCGGCAGCTGCTATGGCAGCGGCAGCAGCGGCAGAAGTAGAAGCAGCAGCAGTATCGCCAGGAAACGCGGACTCACACTCAAGTGGAGTGCACGAACATATTACTATGACTGTTGCTGCTGCAGGGGATGCTGCTGCTGCTGCTGCTTGTAACGAGGGGCAGGGTCACACACGCAGTTACAGTCACACTCCCACACTCACCCACTTTCATACGCACACTCACACACACACCCTCGGGCCTCTGCATAACAACACCCATACCCGCACCCACGCTCCCTCCCACACTCCGTCACACACTCTCTTCCATGCTCCCTCCCACACTCCCTCTCACGCACAGTGCAAGCAGCAAGTACTACAGATCCCTGTCCCTTCCTTAGAAGAAATCTTACACGTCCCTGGGAGCATAGCTTCTGACCATGGGGGAAGGGGGAGGGGCGCGGAGATGGGCGGAAGGGGGGTGGGGGAAGACGATCCACTCCGCCTATCCAATCCCCCTTCCCCTAGCGCCACTGCCACAGCCGCGGGAACGGAGGTCCCCCTTTCCCTCTTCGCTGCTGTGCCTACCGCCCCTGACGGAACGGGAGGGGGAGGCGGGGGGCGCGGAGGGGGGGAATCTCCGCCCATGGCGGAAGGAGGTGGAGGGAGGGGAGAATGGTGGGGGAGAGACGAGGTGTATAATCACCAAAGGCATGGCGTGCAAGGAAAGAGAGGAGGCGGAGCAGCAACAGGAGCAGCAGGGGCAGCAGGGGCAGCAGGGGTAGCAAGGGCAGCAGGGACAGCAGGGGAGATGGGCTCTAGTCATGCCACCAGAAAGGTGCACAGTACTTCCAGGGTTTTCCCCAGGCAGGCATCACCTGGGGGAGGCGGATTTGGGGGGAGCTGGCGCAGGGCTGGCAGTCCCTGGCGGGGAAGAGGAGGGGGGGAGGGCGGAGAGGAAGGGGGGAAAGGATGGGGAGGCGGAGGCGGAGGCGGAAGCGGAGGGGGAGGGGGCGGCGGAGGGGGAGGGGGGAGGATGGTGGGGATAGGATTTGTGGCCGCTGCAGTGCCTAGGTGGGTGACGCCCCCTAGACGGTTCTGGAAGAGCGGAGGGGGAGGATGGGGTGGAGGAGGGGCAGCATCGGCTGCAGCCGCTGGGAATATTGCTGAGAACGAGGTATGTATGTGACAGAATCACACGTAATGCTAAGGTTATCATAATCCAAGGTTCTTATGAGTTGCGCAGGTGAAAATATGATCGTATGGAGGGAATTGGAGAGGTTTTTGAGAGAATGACAGTAAACGTGAAAGCTAGGAACTTCCAAGCGGAGTGACTGCTTGTGCATGCTAAACTGTTAAGTCCTAAGGCCCTCAAAGCTCGAAACTGAGACGTCTCAAACTGGACTGAAGGTAATGCTTTAGTCGAGCTGAAAAATATCTCAAACTGGACCGAAGGTAATGCTTTAGTCGACCTGAAAAATATCTCAAACTGGACCGAAGCTACGGTACGGCAAGTGGCCCTTCGTGTTTTGCAACGTCAAAGCATGCATATCGAAGGCTGGATGTCGAAGCGCCTCGTACGCTTGAAGTTAGAGGGAGGAGAGCGGAGGCAGCAGGAGGGTAGTAGTGGCACCTCTGATTTTCTTCTGCTTCCTCATTCCCCCCTGTTTCCTCTTTGCCCTCATCCCGTGCAGCTGTCGCAACGCAGTCGGCACGGCAGTGCGGCTCCTGCCAGAAATAGAGCTGCTGCGATGAGGTGATGTGCCGTGGCAGGTGGTGATGTGGCTGGAGGTGATGTGGCAGCAGATGACATGGCAGGGGATGATATCCTAATGATGTAAGCGCAAGGTAGTGCCGGTATGATGTCACTGGCATGGGAGCACAGATTAGTTTAGGAGATAGCAAAATCAGAAAAGTCATGATGTCATTTTGTGGCATGAGATGATGGCATGAAAAAAGGCCGGGGGTGACATGCCATGTTATGGTCTAGTTTGTAGGGAGGAGGGAGGCTCTTTACTTCGCTGCTAGTTGATCTCTGTCAATAAAGCCAATCCACAGTAGCTGCTCCACAATTCATTAAGGAGTTGTTTTCTGCAGTTGTGTGCCGTACAGCAATTATATCTTGTCCTGGGAGCGAGGATTTGATTAGCTAGTATACCTTTGCTTTTGTGCCTAGCTGTGGGCTTGGAAGGAAAATTGCAGAACTACCGTAGTACCCCGGATAGAAGCGCATCTGCACTTATATTAAAACAGTGTTTTTTAGGGGGGTGTGCTTATAAATGAGTCAAAATTATTAGCGCATGCGCTTATACAACAACAAGCACAGAAATATTTTATAAACACACCAAACTGTGCATTAGGGCGTATTCCTACGACCTCCTATCAAGAATCCTCCTATCAAGAATGTAGTTCTCGCCTGTAAATTTGCAAGATCGCGCAACCTCCTATCAACAAAACTTGACGGTTTCCCCACATGTGCGACCCAAAACAAATGCTGATGTGGCACGCTGCGACCCAGGTTGATCAGGCGCTCCGGTTCAAATAAAAAAAGCACCACGTAAGCACGTAGTGTGCCAAGGGGACAAGTCAACAAACATCTCGCGAACACATGCCCATGTACGCCACAACCTCCCATCTATTCGTAGAAATAGTACAAACGCTCGCAGCTTACGGCAATCCTGCTAATAGTGCCTACCACAACGACTATGACGGACGTTCCTTTCCTGCCTAGGTTGTTAATAGTATGGCACACCTTTTATTACGACACATTCCAAAATAGTGCCATCCAGTCTTGCATTGATTTCCTCGAGCAGATAAGCAATGCGGAAGAAGATACCGTCGTAGAGACGAGGAGTGAATTACGTGCTCGAAACCGAAGCTTACGGCGGCGCCGCTTAGGCGTGTGGGAGGACGAAATGGCGACGATGCCCGAGGAGGTGTTCATCGACTTGTTCCGCATTAATCGCGCTATTCTGGAATACGTATGTCAAGGAATGGCTCACGTGCTCAACCCCGTCATCCAGCGCCATCGCATTCCAATTACAGTGGCCGTGCTCATACCAATCAAGTATTTCGCAAGCGCGATGGCGTATGTGGACCTGGCTTTCTGGTTCGGTGTGCCAAAAACCCTGTGCCATCACCTCGTAGACCTCTTCCTCTTAAACTTTCCCACCGTTTTCAAAGCGGCCTGGGTACGTTTCCCGACACAGGATGAAATGCGTGACATGGCTGAAGAGTTCCGGAATATTAAAGGGGTGCCAATGGTTGTAGGTGCTATTGACGGCACACATGTCCAGATTCGGGGGATGGAGGGGCATCGGGCGGAATATTACACGCGAAAATCACAATATGCCGTGCAACTACAAGTGACATGCGACGCTAAAGGAACCATCTGGGATTACCTGATAGGCTATCCAGGCACCGCCCATGACCAGCGGGTGTTCGTCCTGTCTAGCCTCTATGAGCGACTACGAAGAGGTGACCTCGCACCGAACCAGCTGGTAGGAGACGCCGCCTACCCGCTCTGCAGCTACTGCTTGACGCCATTGCATGCTCCAACTGGCCGCCTCATGCTCGAGTGGGAGCAGACCTTCAATTACTGCCAGTCCGCGACTCGCATGCCCGTGGAGCGAACCATTGGTGCGTTGAAAGGACGGTACCGCCTATTTGCCGGCCGTCACGAGTGCGCGTTATGGCGGGTCCTTGCCGGCGCCAGCTGTGTTGTCATACTACACAACATGGGCATCAAGATGGCAACTTCCAGGATGAGAACAATCAATCACACGTGGGCTGCGCGGCTGATCAACCAAGACCCATGGTGGACGAGAGGAGAACTTGCACGGTATAATTGGTGCGCCGATCTTGCCGTCACTAGACACGATCTCAAGGAGAGGAGGAAGAGGCTCGAGGAGGCGCTGCATGTGGAATACCTTAAGCGACGTCGGACCGGCGATGCCACACCTCCACGTTGTCGGTGACTTCATCAGCGGCGTCGGTATTGTAGCCAGTCGGCCCTGATTCATCCGCTGGGTTGCTTCCAAAGTTGAGGGGACGGCTTGTTGTTGATTGTTGGGAGGCCATCCACTCGCGTATGACTCCGGTGATTTGTGTTACGCCTTCCTGGGAGCACTTTGTGAATGTGTCGGCCAACAGTTGAGCAGCTGCCATGGTCGCCGTCTCATTAATACGGCGTCGTGCATGGGGCGGGGTGTTACGAACTAGGGATAAGAGCGGGGAGGGTTACGGGGTAGAAATTAATAGCAGCACAAGCAGTCATTCTTTTGTGGTGTAAGCGACATTACATAACATTCCGTCAACTTTTTCACGCTCGGATTTTCAACTTGCTATAAATTGGCCTAGCATTCAACACACATACCAGGTGTTGTTGTGGCAGCAGTAGTCGGCGGCTTTGGAACCTTGATCTCAGGGTCCACTGTCACGTTAACTGCACCGCCACCATCCAGAGCGTGAGGCTCGGCAGCAGCAGTGTCTTCGTAAAACAGCACCACCCACTGCCACAACGACGGCTTTATCACCGTTCCGCCTCCAGATGCCGAATCCCCGATCTCGATATGCTTCCATAGCGCTTTAAGTCGCTTCCACTGATTGACGCAGGCGGTGGCATTCCTGCACCAATCGGGATGCTGCTTCTTAATGTGTTCGATGAGGCGCAACCAATACTGCGACCCCTGTTTTCCCGTCATTTGGTTGAGCTCCTCCTTGGTGAACCATCGCGCGGCGCACAATATGGTGGACTCTTTGGCCGTCCATTCCGATTTCGGGCCTGTGCCCAAACAGTCGGCATTATTCGCGCCAGCAGGGTGACTGCCCTTTCCCTTCCCGCGAGCCTCGACGCGCCTGCTGGAGCCTCGTTTCTCTGCTGCCGCGGCCGGCGCCACGGGGCGATCATCAGGCGGGCCACTATATTCCGCGTCGCCACACCACGCCTCGTCCGGTTCTTCGAACTCAAAATCCTCGTCGTCGTCGCCATCCGCAGTGTCCTTGTCCGTGTCGTCCTCGTCAGTGTCATAGTCGACTTGCAGACCGATATTACTGGTCCCGGGCGTGGCGCGAGGTGTGATGGGTGTCTTTGCGGGGGGCTGGCCTACATTGCGCAATGGCTTTGCTGTGGGTCTACCATTCGCGAGTTCGGCGTTCATCCACGCCACATATGCAAGATCCTCTGGCCGCCATAATTGTTCGTCTGCCTGGCCGAATACTTTACGCTTTCGGGCCATGTTGTTGGATGTACGGTGCTTTGCGTGCCAAGGAATGGGAGCTACCAATGTATAGAGAGCATGATGGCGAGTTGGGTGCTCTGTGTCATGTGTGTTTGGATGAGAGGCCCCGTGAAGTGCTTGACGTGCTGGGGGTGGTATACGTGTCGCGTGGCGCCAGGTGT